GCACGTTCCTTCTCGTCTGCTCCATTTGTGATAAATCGACCGAACTGAAGCGGAAGATAATTAGACAAAAGGACTTAGCATTTGAAAAATTCCCTCCCAACAGATGCTTGGTGCAGCTTTGTTAAAAGCACATCAATTGCACTAACGAGTTTGAACCAATAATTCATACAACATTTACCCACATGACAAGGAAAGAGGATAAAATATGCAGCTGGCTCATTTTTATTTAGATTTATGTTTTATTTAGGGAACATTTTAGGGCCCTTCGGCGAAAAAGAACGGAATCGAACTCTGCCTGCTACCTCGACGTGAGCAGCTATAGTCAAACGAGGCTCACTAGGTTTTCATTCCGTACTTTTACCGGGTCATACTACCAGAAGTCTTCGATTATACTCGACCTTATTTGACAGAAAGTATCGTATTGTAGCTAGTCCTCAATCACAGTAACTAGAATAATTTTCAAAAATATGTGAATTTCGCGTCTGCTAGACGTCTGTCGTTGACGCGAACATGCGAGCATAACGTAAAAAAACTTCAAAATTCCATTTAGTAATGTGACTCCTGAAAAAACGAATTGCCCATAAATTGATAAGAATCATGCTCGTTCCTTAACACCTTTATTGAATCTATTACATTTTATGACAGTAAGTTTTTTGTTTACAATCAAGAGAATTTTTTTTTCGAGAGATACGAGGGCATGTTGGAGCCTTGCGGAAATGGAAATATAGAAATCTCAACTCAAAAATTGTAGTGGGGTTGATGTGAGGGAAGCACAACCATCGCTAAGTTTTACTAAGCCGAAATTTTCAGATATTTCAAAATAAAAAAGGAATCAAAAAGTAAGGAATCTGTCTAGAAGAATAAAATCCTACAGAGCTGTCATGTTTTTGTCCAAATTGACTGTTCATTCAGACAATACCATAAAAACGAAGAAGCTAAGAGCTCTCCAGAATGGAAAACTCCTATAAAACGTACCAGTCTGCGAAAACACGAAGCAAAACACATAGCGCTGTTGAGAGTAACGAGAACCTTCCATATTGAAAGGTTTGAGGTCAGTTGGTCAAACTTTGCCAGGTGATCAATGCAGTTGTAATATAATTGCTTCCTCCTTAAGTTGTCTATGGAATAATTTAAACCTTTATATGTTTCGTATTTGTAGAAATTCAATCTTCATAAAGATCATTTCAATGATTACGGTAATCCGATTGTGAACGGGATATGGAAAGGGGCAAAGGGGGCTGCGGACTGATGCTCCCTTAAATTTCGATGTCTCTGGAAGGACCTGAGCTACTGTTCGGCAGATTTGTCAAACTTATTCTTACATTGCTTCCTAAAGTTTTTGGCGGTGATAATGTAGTTCGGAGGGGAACAACCCTTGTCTCTGACACTAAGCACTAAGATCAGAGAAGGAGGGATAGTCTTTTTCTTCTTCGTCGTAAGCCCATGATGCGAGGTGCTGAAGAACGTTTTTCACGAGGGAAATATGATTTTCTACATAGGTCTCAGAAGTAGTAGCGGGGTGGCTGAGATGTTAACCTTGTGCAAGAGGCTTGTCTGAGAGAGAAATTGAACATTCAGTTGATCCTCCCAACTCGGTACAAGCCCCCTGTTTAGGCATGGGTAAAAAAAATTATATCCCTCTGCCTAAGAAACGTTTCTGAGCACCATTACGGGCTCGCGAATCCGGTTGACCCACTTTCTCTGCGCTCTAGCGTTTAGTGTTAGAGACATGGTGTGGGCTCCCAATGTACATTTCAAGCTTCCCGTCTCCCTACTTTCAGGTGAAGACAGCGATATAAAGTAGCTCTGTTGTTTATAAGATTTATTGGGAACCAAACGACTGCTTGAAGATGCAGCCAACAGATTTTGGGAGACGTACGGGCATTAGGGGCCGAGATAGGCCTCATCTCGCAAACTTTAATCCTCTACTATGCCCCTGTTTCACCAAATTTTGCCTCGAACAATCCACACAGTGTTTCTATTGCAAAGAAAGGGCTCACCATTGGCCTCTGCTCAATTTATAAGCAGACCCTTTTCATCGACCCTGAGGCTTTCAGAGCAGGCATCTCTCCAGGTACTTCGTGTAGCTCATTCTAGTCTTCTAGGTCAACGTCTGTACGGTAGTACTGCAATGAAAGAAACTGATTAATGCATTTATTAAGTTGACGTACAAATAATAACTCTCTGTTGTAAATGAATCAATTCACGGTGATTTATGTTATTGAGCACATGATACAATAATCTCTCTGAAACGACCAATCACCAGATTGGTTAAGCACTAGCGGTAAAGGTACAGGAATCTAATGTACAGTACTAGTCCTGTTACAAATTACAACAAATCTGTTCAAAAAGAAATTTCTACCGGGTACAATGAAAGGCGAAATGGTCACACTGCACAAATGTGTGCTTAGACACCGCGATTAGTAGAAAGTAGTAAAAGTAGTTATCAGTAAACAGGTGATGCGGTCGTTTCATAGATTCCGGAACGCTTTGAGCAGTATATGAAATTCGTCATTACAGCAGTATAGAGCTAGTAGTAGGTAACCGAGGTCAAAGCGTTTAGGAATGACTTGAACTAGTATATGACACACCGATTACAAAACAAAAATTACTGAGCAGTAAAGAATGTCGAAAGCCTTGGATTCCAAAAATTTCAAGAGCTTCAAATGGCAATGAAATCCAAGACGATCGTGAAACGACCTGACAACCACTGAGTGATTGAAAATGTGGCGATTTTTAAAATCGATACAAAATCAAATCTGATTCGATCAATGGGGGGATGGATACATAATGATCAGAGCTCGGATTTTTTAAAAAAGCATATAAAATTGTAACTACGAAATTATCACGATATACTATGATAATGTGAAGTAAATGTCAATAAAGGGGGGTCGCATATGTATTAGAATCTACCGGTGCTGATGGTATTGCGTGCGACGGTGGGCTTGGTGGGCAACAACCGCCGGACACTACCCAATCACTTGTGCTACAACAGTACCTGTGTGCTGTAATCAATACGATCAATACGATATATTGCCCGTTACAATCGAATTGTCATCCTTGAAGCGGTCAAATATCCAGTATTCTAATATAATAGTTTTGAGTAAAGGGGGATGACATACATTTGTAGCTAACCTACTAGTACTACGGAAGTTATTTGAAGGTCTACTGTAGTATGCCGTCGTTGGACGAATGGGGTCATTACACTCATTGATGAACGCACACGTATTAACGACGATATTTAGCGTTCCTTTGATTAGCTATTTAGAAAAGCTTTTAACAACCGTGAAATTGTGTATGTACAATGCGAACCGGCTAGCAAAAAATGCGATGTTGAACGGATCATTGGAAGAATTTCCAGATGGTGCTAACGGGTTGTAGTGATCGGTTCCATTTCCGCGACGGACACATTCGATTCTGTCATCCGATTGAAGCTTTGCTCACTTTTCAACATGTACGTCGTACTTTGAGTTGTACCCAAACACTTCGAGGCCTGCAATATGGTTTTTATAAAACATGGAGGAAATAGCAGTCAAGCGGAAGTGACAAATGTTACACAGTAAGAGAACGTGGGTTCTAAATTAAGCTCAGTCGTCATTAGAGGCATTCGACGTTGAACCCGTTCAAAAAACTACCAAAAACGAGCGATTATATTTAGAATTTGCAAGTGTGAGCTTCTGGAGCGCGCTCCTCATTGGTGGATTTTCAAACTGCAAGATGACAGCGCACGCGTAGTTCGGCAACCCACCAATAAGGGCCCGAATCGGCGCATGAGATTCGAAAACGCGCGCGGGAGCCTAGTTTCGACGATGGCATGTGCTGACCCATACTTTCACCGATTACCCGATTCGCCCTATACTTGAATCAAGGCTAGTCGCTACCTTTACAAAAATTTTTGAAAGTTTCCCAAAAAAAATCTTCTTACCGCTGGAATGTCCGCCTCCAGTTTCCAGATCTTGAAGTACCGTAAGAACCAGACACTAAACGTGGGCAAGATTGCCAGCAAGACCATACCCAAAGCGATAAACATCGCCCATATGGGATATTCGGTTTCCTTTTGCTTAGCCTAAAAGAATATCATCAATGACAAAACAATTTTAAGATGAGTTTGCGACAAAAGAGTGGAAATATAGGTAATTAATAACTCCCAAAGCTCAGTTGGGTAAAAACACAGCGACTTTCCGTTGATTTATACTTACCGTCTCTTTGTCGTAAGCATAATATGTGGTAGGTTTCGAGAAACTTTGTACAACGCTACATGTGAAGAGTACAGCCATAATGATTGGAGCGACAAAACGCCATGTTATAAGCCAGTATTGGCCAGGAGTCGATCCAGTCATAAAATCGATATCTCGCGAAAACCTATAAAACTTAATATTAAATATTTATTAAGAGACGGATCAATTTCGGAAATCTATGTACCGTCTATATCCGTAGACATACACGACGGCGATCACCTCAAAGAAGGCCACGCACATCAACGCGTAGGAACCGGCAAACGAGTCAAACAGTGCGACCCAGTACTGAAAGAGGTTAGTGTTACTAGTAAGCAAGTTTAGGTATAGATACTGCTTTTTATTTTTATGACGTGGTTTTGGAATTGAAGATTTTGATTTGATTTTCTCTGATAGTAACGGAATTACTTGTTTTCACTTGTCACATGACGCCCAATAATTAATTGTTATCGTAACTAACTTGTTTACAGATCTAGAAAAGTGTTAGCAGTTCGAAGCGTGACAAGGAAATAAAATCAGAAGGTCCCGTTATGAACAAGTATGGAAAAGAATGCGCGACTCTCTTTATCGATTGATTCCGAGAATGTCCTCAAGTCCTTTTTGGGATTAGCGCGGAAACAATCAATCAGTAAGAAACCTGTCCGGCTCGGGTTGAAAAGAGTAGTCCAACGAGACAAGCTGAGGCACAAAGTACAGCTGTTAGTACTGGTTTGGTGACGGTAATCATGTGTGAATCATTCAACGAAGTGATGACTCCCTCAAGGGTTCCTGGAAAAAATGCGAATGAATCAGATTTTTCATAAAATCGATATTAAGATTTCGCTTAATTTGTCATGCTGTTTTTAGCTATTCTTCGGGATCCTGTAGTTACTATGAATGCTGAATTACTGTTAAAATATTTGGCCTTAGACGGAACTCCAATCAGCGTTCATACTTTCTAAGCGGGCAAACTGAAAGTCATTGAAAAGCTCCAGACTATCAGTGCTACAGAGCAAAATAAACACATAAACGGTTTCTTCTTGAAAATTTTCAAGGCAATTTACATCCGGAATGGGTGGCACTTCTCCCTGCGCGCGATCGGATGCGGCGTACGCGACGCGATTTTTGGGTAGAAGTTCTCACGCCCCCACCCCCTAACTGATTACTTACTAAGCAATAATATTCACTTCATACACAAATTACGTATGATAAAAACCTGAATACCACTAAATAAAGGATCCAAGGGTACAATGAATCGCTCACCGAACATGCTTCCCAAGCCAAGTGAGAGAAGCATAAGGAAGAACAGTATAGACCAGGCTGGTGGAAATGGGAACTTTAAAATTGCCTCGGTGAATACGACGAACGCAAGACCAGTACCTTCAGCAGCCTTCAAAATAATCGTGAATTACCTTTTTGAAACCACTACAATTTTCTGAAATTTCCTGAAATATTCAAGAAAATTTTTTAACCAGAAAAGAAAATAGAACAAGAACGAATAAATCCACCGGACTGTTTCACAGTATCAAATATAAAAGGGAGAACCTTTCTGAGATTTAACTTTCTCTCGCACCGGAAAAAACCGGACCAGAGGGATAGAACTTACCTCAGATATGATGGTTGCATAGTTGCACATTTGAGAGTACGCTGCCATTTTGGTAAATTCACCAGTGAATTTGTGTTGCATAAGCTACAAAGTTACTTATAAAATCAAAGTTACAGTCACAATTGAAAAAGTAAAATAACTTACCTCAATATATTGATCTTGGGTAAACATTTTGCGTACATCAGCTACAGAAGAGAAATTTTCGGGGAATACGGATACCATAATTTCCATATCCCTGAAAGAAGGTTGATTAATACGCTCGGCTCAGTTTTTGTCAGCCAGATCTTCGAATTGGACTTAGATACTACTGAATAAAGAAAAACTGCATCTTTCTAGTAAGTCTACGTATGGTTGAACTTGTAACACATAGCCCAATGTTTCGGTTGTGCTGTCGTTCCCGGAGCTGGAAGTCCCTCGTGTGGATCAAGGAACATCCAACAAGGAGGATTAACTCTGGGACATCCAAGAAAGGTGGTAATGTCAGGGGATGTATCCATGAACTTACTGGATAAGGAATTGAAAATCTTCAACCCCATGTTCTTGCTCCGGCTCATCCGGCTC